ACCTGTAATTAATATGGTCTCAACCCATGTGTTTTGAAAAACTGTAAAACCTAATATACTTTCAAAATCTTGTGCAACTTAGAAATGTGGCGGGAGAGCAAAGAAATCTTCCATCTCCTTTGAAAGTGTGAGGAAGCCGTGTACTGTAACCTATCAGGAACATAACAGGTAACTTATAGACAATAGATCCAAAACAGCATTAGACAATAGTAAAACTACAAAGACTTACAGGGGGAATCAAGAGCGATCCTAACAACCTATTAACAGGAAGTCATATGCCCAGAGCAGGGGGGCACCCAGAGTGGAGCAGGGGAACAGGAGGAGGCTTGTATCCCAACCCTGGAGACTCCCGGATCCCCACCAAGACTCAGTACGGGCACCAAGGACCACATCCCAACTGCTAAAGAGACCACGGGGAACTGGAATGCCTTCGGGGGCCGAGAACTCAGAGGACATGTCCCCCGCCCCCGCCTTTGGACCTTCCATACAGGATGGAAGAAGCCCGAATCCTTCCTTGTACAATCCAAGGACGTCAGAACAACAGCCAGGAACCCTGAACGGTCCTCAGAATCAGAAGAATAGTAAACTTCCTTCGGAACTAGGAAGAGGAGCTTTCTCTGGTCCTTACTTAGTTCCAACTTTGGGTCCCCACCCTCTCTGCAATGACCATCAGGGTCTCTCCAGAGCCCCTCCCCCCAAACACACATACACACACAAACAAACTAGAATAGATAGGCAGAGAACAACAAGGAAAGCTTGGTCAGCATGGACACTTACATATACCTTACCAGGTGGGACACAAAGAGTAAGTACTCCTTACCAAGGTATTGAAGATCTCTCTGCACACTCCTCCATAAACTGCTTTGCACCTCAATTGATGAAATGTCAATGAAGTAGTCACAGGATGTGGCTAAGAACTTGCCTTTATTTTTAACATGTTGTTTACTCAATACTATGTCAATTAATTCCACAACGTTATATATTGTGGTTGATGTTATGTTGGGGCTTTTAATTTGATTGGGATTTTACTGTTAGCTCTACCTTCAGACCAGAGAAGGTCTCCCCAAGAAGCTGTTGAACTTATCTGGATAATAAGATGCTGGACTCTATGCTTGGTATATGCTTGCAATGAAGGAATCTCAACTGAACTTGAACTGTGGTCACACAACAAGGGGGAGGAATCCACCATGGGGGGAGGGGTGGGGAAGGGGGGGAAACCTAGTACCTATAAAACTGTGTCACATAATACAATGTAATCAATAAAAACAAACAAAAAACAAGAATCTTTCCAGCAAGGGTACAAATGGCCTATGACAGATGAGGACCTGTTGATCATATAATATAGAGATACAAATTAACATCAAAATATTTATACAGCCTTCTACCAATTTATAGCCTTTTAGAACATTTACTTCAATTCCAACAAGACTTAAGGGTAAAGAATTCCAAAACCCACTAATGGCCTGAAGGTGGCAGTAAAAGTACAGTGTTTATGACAACGCAGCCTTGAAATGACTGATGTTGAAAACCTGTAAACAACCAAAAGAAATCTCAAATGACTTTATTCTAATTAGCTGTGTAACTATTCTTACATTTAATACATCGATTCACTTCTCAAGCACCTTAGCTTACAGCTTCTACATGGTCAAGCCTAATCTGCTTTTGATTTTTCATGTTCTTTGTGAACTTATCTAGCTGAAAAAGTAGCCACTCATTACAAAGAAGAATACCTATTCAAAAAGCAGAATATGAGAGAGAGAGAGAGAGAGAGAGAGAGAGAGAGAGATTGATCCTCCAATCACTGGGTCACTCCACAAAGAGCAGCAGCCACCAGGGTCAAGCACCCCTTGTGGGTCTCCCACGTGGAGGGGAGGAACCTGAGCACCTGGGCCATCTCCCATTGCTTTCTTAGGCACATCAGCAGGGAGCTGGAGCAAAAGCAGAGCAGCCAGGACACGAACTGCATTGTGACAAGAGATGCTGGTATTGCAAGCAGCAATTAAACCCACCGTTGTCAGAGTACTGATCTTAGTCATTCATTTTTTTGAGACATGGCATAACTTTGTTACAGGAAAACTCAGCAGTCAAGTCAATATGTTTATTTCCTGAGGGCCTGCTGTGAGACACTAGACAGATGAACTATCTGAAGATGCACCAGTCCTTGTTAATGACACAGAACAGCAACCTAAGAGATGAGTGTACCTTCGGGGTCTGTCACCACACCACCCCAAACAAGCAATGCCACAGGTACCTCAGGATCCCAGTTCTAAAACCATGATCACCGATTCTAGACAAACTGCCCCTCCATCCAACGCAGCCACCCAGTGTGTCCCCATAAACGGTGCAACCCACCTGCAGCCTTCCCTTTTTCTGTTCATGCGAAACGCACACACTTCTCGTACCATCCGCACAGTATGAACAATGACATCGCTGCACATGTCACTGCTGCTCTACAGTCCTTCTGCGCAGCCAGGGTCAGTGCAGACTGATAACCAAGGAGGGGAAAACAGCATGCACAATGTCACGCTTTCCTCTCCGGGCTGAGTGTAACATCTGCAAAGGCAGACTTCGGTGAAGCCTAAGGTATACACACTACGCCAGAGACAGAAGCCAGGAATGCACAAAGAGCATGGGTGCTTTCTGAGTTTCGAGCAGCACCCACCAGCAGAGCCCAGGCTTTTCTCCAGTGCAAGGGCTGATTAAAGGGACTCCGCACACAGGAAGGCTTCCATGTGGATGTCCCAGGCCCATGCTACCAGCCTCATCGACGGCCCAACAGAAGCTCCAAGAGCAGGGGCCCGGCTGCAGGATGGGTTTCCTCTAGGTTACACGAGGCCGGAAGCAGCCAGCCCCCCGAGAGACGACTTCGGCCACTTCCCCTTCCTGCCACCCCCTTGTTCAAGAAAAAAACGTTGGTCCCTCAACAGTGCTTACACTGGGCTCCCACAGGGCTCTCTCTGCCCCAGCCTAGAGACAGGAGACCTTGAAGAGGCTGCAAGAAACAGGGACATTCCACACAGGAGAGAGACAAAAGAAAACTAGTGTTTGGTGTCTGTACACATATTTCATATAAGCTACAGGTGAAAAGAAATGAGACTCCAGAGGGTTAATTTTTTACCCATGGAAACAGCTTAAGAAAAGCAAAAACTGACCAAAATCCAGCTTTTTCCACTCTGAAGTCCAAGCTTTCTTTAAAAAGCTTTTTCTGAACACAAGGTATAACCCCTGCGGAAAGGCATGGTGAGGTAGAAACGCCATCTGCCTCTTTCTCCTCCCTGCTGCCCTTGGTCCCGGAGGCTGGCGGGTACAGGCTCCGTCAGCAGCGTCAGAGAGGGAGGCCAGGAGGAGTGTGGTCAGGGACCCTCAGCCCTCAGTCCACCGTCCCTTTACAGGAAGTTCCTGCTGTCCTCAAGGTAGCTGCCTCAAGAGCGCCCTCTCCTTCCAGATTCTAGGACCCCCGCCAGTCCCTAGGCCCTAGGCCTCTCTGGGACTCTGGGGGTCACTGGGGCAGTTCCTGACCTACCTCAAGCACCTCTTGGAGAGACCAACCAATTCAGAAATAAGAATGCCTACATATGGCAAAGGACTTGACTCTGCCTGAGAGCACCTTCCAGATAAGTCTTTGACAGGCAAACACACTCAGCACTTACTTTTGGGAACTTGTGGCATGGTCATGTGAAATAAGGGAGGCAGACCAGGCCTGCAGGCGAGGGGCATCTATGCAGTTAGGGTGACCTTGTGGCCGAGGAGGAACAGGAGTGAAACGCAACTCCATGAAAAAACGCTGATAAACAGAACTCCACCAGAAAAGGCCGGTGTGAAGAGTAAACTCAAATGAGCATCTCGGGAGGGGTCACTCCAGTAGCCAGGGGAGCAGAGAGGCTGGCCAGTGCCCACACAGGTTGGCACTGGCTGCCAATGGCAGGCACTGGCTTCTCTGGCCTCAATTCTCCTACTATGTAGGCAACAGCTCTTAGGGTGCTCCCCAAACCCATTATTCTGGCGAATGACCACCAGCACATTATCTTGTCATTAAAGGGCAAGGATTTAAGCAACTTTCAAAAGTCATAGGTTTCCTATAGCTTTGACTGAGGAAAAAAAAAAACCACGGGTCCTCAGCCTGTCTAAAACAAAAAACAGCTGTGTTTGTGCATCTTTTAGAGGCAGTCAAGCCTCTAAAACACAAAGCTAAAGCAAATGAGACAGTAGGGGTTTTGAATTATTATTATTATTATAAAAAGAGAGAAAGAATAAAAAGGAAAAAAATGAATACGCAGGCAGGCGAGGAATGGACTGGGTGGCTACATCTCCTTCTGTGGCCTTCATGTCCCTCCTTCAGCTACGAGATTCCTCACATGTACCCTATTTCACTGAAGATTTCCCAAGTCTTTTTATTATTATTATTTTGTTTAGATTTGCATTAACTCTGTATAAAAGAAATCATTTCGAGAGTGTTTGCTAGAAATGGGAAAGCAAGCACTGGGGACTTGAACAAAAGTCCAACTGACGTGTCAAACGCACTTTGCCCGATCAGAGGCACACAATCGAGCTCCTCAGTTTTACCCTCTTAGGAACGTTTACCAAGGAAGGTATGTGTGCTTTGTGATCTTTGCACCATGGCAGCAAAGAGGCAGCCTCTGCTAGAAGCACCTACTAAGTGCAGGTGCTACATTCAGCAGGTGGGGCTTTCAGATTCAGGATCCTCCCAGTCCGGCCAGATGGACAGTCTCTTTCAGTTGTGGGACTACGGGCTCAGCGTGGCTAACTAATTGCACAAAATTTACACAGCTTGGAAAGTGAAGAAGCTACTAGACTGAGCCCAATTCCACTCAACATTAAACCGCTTCTTTCTATATAGATGGTACAGAGAAAGTATCCAAGTAACATAATTAAAGGAAGTCCCCTCTTTTGATATGATTCTCTTAAAGGTGTGTCATCCTAAGCCCGACTTCATAAGCAAATCACTTGCGAAAGGGAAAAACCACATCCACGGTCAAGTCACAAGCTCAGAGAGGCTTATTTCAGCAAGCACGTCCTCAAAGAGAGAGGCAGCAGCAAAAGCCAGCGGGCGAAAAGCCTGCAGCAAGCTCTACACTCCAACCACTCTGAACGCAACAGGCGAGCTGAAGACGAGCACAGGAGCGCTGGAATCGACCCTGTCCAGAAACAGGCATCTTCACGCAAGCAGCACTGAGGAGCTTCCTCTCACAGAACTGAGCACACTGGAAAATGTTTATCCCGAAGACAGCCTTTTGATCGACAGGAGGCAGGTAGGCAGTATCTCATTAACTTCATCACATAATATTATCACAAGTAATGGTTACCTACTATATGCCACATCAGGGTTTCATGACAGTAAGGCACTGCTGCTTCTATACTGGTGAACACGTTGGCAATGGCCCATTCTAGTATCTTTCTACAGCACTGAAATGACTCTGTGCTTCCTGTAGTATCTTTTATATTAAGGGTAAATGTGACTTTTTTCAACTCAAAGGAAATTGTTGATGTGGTAACTCTTAAAGGTACCTCATTGGCTTAATCACTTGATTGTAACTATATCACTGCATGAAATATACATATTATTTCTAAGAAAAATTTCAGCCAATCATGGAATCCATGGCAAAAAAGCTGACTTGAAAGCCACAACCTTTTGACATTTATCCAGAAATTTCTCTGGTTCTGCAGAACACAGCCCACAGAGCTGTGCTCCTGAAACGCATGTATCACCCACACCTTGTTCAAGTTTAAATGAATGGACACAAGTGCTGGTGACAAAGGGACTCCAGAATCAGCAGCTTGGGTACAACAGGGACAGACAGATTCAAGATGGTTTGTAAGGTCTCAATCTAGATGTCAAAATCATGGTTGGAAAAAAGACAAAGTCAGAAAACCTCATTTATACTGCAACTGCTACTATTTAAAAATACATTGAGAGTAAAAACTAAAATGTAAGCCTCCCATGTTATTTCTCCATAATAATGGAGTTTTAAATTTCCTATGTTACAGTTTTCTCATTTGATAAAAAGAAATATGCTAGTCACAGCAATGTTTGGAAATTTTAGTGTATGCTTTTAAATATGTAGAATGTGATTCTAAATTTTTAACCTAAATATAGGTTAATATATAAATATAGGAAATATTTCCTAAATATAGGAAAACTAGTCAAAGAAGGAAGGAGTAAGGGACCAAAGGACAGAAGAAGAGAAACAAAGTCAAGTCTTGCATCTGTCCAGAGTAATGGCTCAAAATGACTTCCCCAGCAACAATGTCACATCACAGACCACAGGAAGCAGCCCACCCAGCTCTCACGACAGAAAGACTACCAAGTGTGGCCTGGGAAGGAAAGTTGGTGTGGGCCCCGTATTTGTAGGGCTGCCACAAGGTTCCACCTCTTTGCAGCAAGTCTATATTTAATGTCTCTGTAGCTGGTGTTGCATCACGTGTGAAGGAAGCTTCACACGGTGAGGGGCCCAGTCACATTTAGAATCACACATAAACTCCTTTCCATTCGCAATCGACAGTTTTTGTGGTAAAGGGAATTTAATGGTTTCAAAATATGCATCAATGGACTTCGAACTAAATTCATCTTAAGACATTCAGTTTGAATTCGACAGAGTGCAGCAGTCTCTGCAAAGCCTCACCCACAGCTCCAACAGTCCGGCCATGTAGAACACCACCCAAAATGCTCCCGTTCCTAGACCCAGGAGAATGTAAAAACAACACAATACTTGGAGCATTTGTAACTTAACAAAATAAAATGGTAGATGGCCAATTCTCCAAGTTCTCACTGGCAAACTGGAGAAGAGTTGCCATGGGTCACCTCACCAAATGTCCCTTCCTCGTCTGTCTGTCATTTCACAAGTGTCCACTGGGTTCTTAACCACGTATTGCACAGGCAGAAAGGATACGGCAGTGAGAAAGGGATGCTGATGCGGCTTCCCCAGTGTGAATCACTGGGATCAGTCATTAACCAGCCTCACGGTTCTTTCATTCATTTTCTAACCCATAATCCATATAACAAAATTTTGTATAATGAGTTTTTAAAAACTCAATATGTGGACATTACAAATCTGTTACATAATATTTAAACAGAATGAAGGAGATTAAAAGTGACAAGTTATGATACCCCAGACCACCTTGGTAGATAAGTACTGGCAATAATCTCTAGTGAATGCACTTCTTAATAATAAACACTGACAAATACATTGAATCTATAGTAACATAAAATACTCTCTAAATTAAAATTCACAGCATGTTAAATATTTTCCAACCAAAGGTTTTATTCTCTCTCTCTTTTTTTTAATATTTTTACAGTTTCTAAGTATCATGCGTACCAACAAGCTATAAGATGAGCACATCAAACAATCCAGTCCAGCCGGCCCCTTCTAACCACTCATATCCACACGAATACAAGATCGCAGCCCTTGTCTTCTACAGCTGCATCTTTATAATCGGGTTCTTTGTCAACATCACGGCATTGTGGGTATTCAGTTGCACCACCAAGAAGCGAACCTCTGTAACCATCTACATGATGAATGTGGCATTGTTGGACTTACTATTTATAATGAGCTTACCTTTTCAAATGTTTTACTACGCGCAAGAGGAGTGGCCCTTTGGAGAACACTTCTGCCACATTCTCGGGGCTCTCACAGTGTTTTACCCGAGCATCGCTCTATGGCTATTCGCTCTAATTAGTGCCGACAGATACATGGCCATCATACAGCCGAAATATGCCAAAGACCTCAAGAACACATGCAAAGCGGCGCTGGCATGTGCGGGCGTCTGGATTATGACTGGGACAACCACTGTCCCCCTGCTCCTGCTCTACCAGGACCCTGACAAGGCCTCCAACCCCCCCACCTGCCAGAAGATCTTAGACATCATCCACTTAAAAGCCGTTAATATGCTGAACTTCACACGACTCATTTTTTTCTTCTTGATTCCCTTGTTTATCATGATTGGGTGCTACCTAGTCATCATTCACAGTCTCCTGCACGGTCGGACATCTAGGCTGAAACCCAAAGTCAAGGAGAAGTCCATTCGGATCATCCTCACGCTCCTGGTTCAGGTGCTTGTCTGTTTCGTGCCCTTCCACATCTGCTTTGCCTTCCTGATGCTGGATGGGGAAGAAGGGAGGTACAACCCCTGGGGGGCCTTCAGCACCTTCCTCATGAACCTCAGCACCTGTCTGGACGTGATTCTCTACTACATCGTTTCAAAACAATTTCAGGCTCGAGTCATCAGTGTCATGCTGTACCGTAACTACCTTCGGAGCGTGCGCAGAAAAAGCTTCCGCAACAGCAGTCTACGCTCACTAAGCAACATAAACAGTGAAATGCTATGAATGATAGCAGGGGATTTTTTTCCTTCAATTTCTTTAAAATATGTTATTAACAATAAAAAAAATCTAAAAATATATATATATACTTTACTATCCAGAGTAAGGGCATGTTCTATATATTATCAATTTCCTAGTCTCTGGGGGGAAAAAACTTTAGAAACTCTGGTACAATCATGGTATTGTGACCATATAATTAAACACTCTGAGGATTCCTTAAATTTATTATTTTGCTTAACCAACCGATGTGTATTTAACAGTTCAGTCTTACCTATGCAGATAATTGACATAACTTTTTGGATTAAACCCATGTGCAAATGACTCATGTGTTAAGTCAGTAGCAGGAAAAATCTACCTGCTATGCAGAATACTATAGCCTACACCATTTTTCATCTAGATGAAGTACCTTCACTTCTGATTTACATTCAGGATTGCAGATCTAAATCTAATACCTCAGGTTCTAAGCACGAGTCACTGCTTGCAACTGCTGCAGAGCAAGCCACCCTGAGGGCAGCAAGCAGCCAAGGGAAGGAGACTGGAAAGGACCCCATTAAGCCAATCCTCCCTTGCTCTGAATTCCCTTTTTAGAGCAGACTATAGCCATTAAGTAAATACTTCCTGAGAGCCTGTTTTGTACCAAATCCAATGCAGAGAGATAACTTACGTATCTGACATAAAAATTTCAGTATACACAGTACAATGATTTTAAAAATGTGTGGAAAATGGTATTAAAACCTACATGTAGGGGCCAATGTTGTGGCACAGCACACAGCCCTTCCTTCGGGGATACCAGCATCCCATACGGCCACTGCTTCATGTCCTGGCTGCTCCACGTCCCATCCAGCTTCCTGCTAACAGCCAAGGGAAAAGCAGCAGAGAATGGCTCAAGTCCCTAGTGAGAGACCCAAGTGAGAGACCCAGAGAGAGCTCCTGATTCCTTTTCTAGGGCCTGGAAGAGCTCTATCCATTGGGACCATCTGGAGAGTAAAACAGCACATGAAAAAGCTCCTCTGCCTTTCAAATAAATAAATAATAAAAAAATGTTAACATGAAAAAAATGCACATTATTTTGGTACAAGAAAACCTTGAATATACATAGTTGCTTCATAACATACATATTTTAACTGTACTTCTTTTTATTAATATCATTTTCTGATACTGTTCCATAGGCCCTGTAAATTACCTTATCCCCTTCCCAATTCCCTCCCCCCTCACTGAGTTACCCTATATCATTATTATACTATAGTTCTTCATACAGTCATATGTCCATCATTGTGGGCATGGACAATGGCAGAGAGTCCAGTGTCCTCTTATCAAGATACAGTTAACAGTTCCATTGGGAGTCCATCTTTGTCTGGAAGTAGAGATGCACACTGCATTGTATCCTCACATCTGGATATGATAGTCTCCATCACACAGTTACTATACAACCCCTATGAGCTTTTTTAAAAAGACATGATATTTGTCTTTTTGGGACTGGCTTTTTAAAAAAAAAAAAGATTTATTCTTACTTGAAAGGCAAAGCTATAAGGAGAGAGAAGGAGAGACAGAGAGAAACAGATCTTTGTTTCACTCCCTAGATGGCCACATCAGCTGCATCTGTGCCATTCCACAGCCAGAAGCCAGGAGCTTCTTACAGATCTCCCAAGTGGGTCAGGGGCCCAAGGACTTAATCATCCTTTACCAGGCCATAAGCAGGGAGCTGGATCACAAGTGGAGCAGCTAGAAATCAAACCGGTGCCCACATGGAATACTGGGGCCACAGGCAGAGGTTTAGCTTGATATACCATGGCGCTGGCTCTTTGCATGCATTAATTTCCAAAGTTTTTTTTTTTTAATTTCAAAAGTTTTTGCCCTAAAATAAACTTATATTTTCATTTCATTTTCTACCAATCTTAAAGTTTCCATGGCCTACTCTCAGCTATACTGAGACCTATGCTTATATATTTTATCAAATGGAAAACTGCACGTAATTGTCTTTCTTATTAAGAGGAGTTATCTGTGGGATTACAAAGAATAAAACAAAGCCTCAAAGCAAAAACTTATGTCATAGTTCTAACAATAAAATTATAATCTACAAGTTTTATCAGAAAATTATCTAGCACTGTAATGAGACATATTTTAACCTGACTGGTAAAAATTCAAAATTCCACAGTACTGGGGGGAGGGTGGCAAATAGTGAGGTTGATTCTGGAAAATTATATAATATTCATATGCAAATAACAAAATAATAGGACAAATATGTAACAGGTATGAATTACTAGAAGTACTTAATATATGTAGTTTTCAATAATAGAGCTATCTTTACTTTCAAATCCTGATGGTTATATTTTTTGAATTTAAGTAACAGCAATGACTGTCTTAGGTTCTCTGCAAAGCACTTGAAAAAACGGAACAAGTCTACATATGGTCCAATGACCTTACCTTACAGTCTGATTGAGCTTACACTATAATCAAGGCCAAATTATTAAGTATATAGCAACATATACATAATATAAAACTTGGTTCTCTCTCAAAGAGGGAGGTGCAGAAAGCACCCATAATAATAGTGGCAATGCAATTAATAAATACTAACAGGGATACTAGTAAACATGGTTAACATATAAAAGGACAATCAACCCTGCTAAAGGGGGAGAGGGGAAGAGAAAGAGAGAGAGCACGGGAGCCGAGCGCAGAAACCAGCCAAGCAAGCACAAGAATGCAAATACAAAGCATGCTGAGAAACCTGGAGGACAATGGAGAAGAGGCCTGCAAGACTGGATGTTGGTTAGACTGCTGGGTTTGGAAAGAAAGAAGAAAGCCAGCATCCTGTGGGGAAGAGGGCGCTGCTGCCAAGATCCTAGCATTGACCTCAGTGGGCTCACAGGGGTCATCTACAAACAGAATTCAGGACACAGAACTTCAGAGAAGTAACTTGCTCAAGATCCCACAGGAGCATTAAGGGGTACAGCTGGGCTATCCAGTCGGGTGTGGATGATGTAAAGGCCAGGCCATTCCTGCAATTCCAGACCGCTGAGTGCAGCCGGCACACAGGTGCCGCAGCAGGGACACAAGGCAGGCAGCAGGAGTCTGACCTTTGGCGTGAAGGAAAGAACGATATAAAGGTTTTCACATGAGGACTGGTATCACCATCAAACCTGGATCTTAGCAAAACAACACTGCACAAAACGCTTTGAAACTGACAGGAGACTAGCCAGAGAATGACTGCAAAATGAACAAAGAAAAAACTCAAATTTCAAACTAGGATAATAACAGAAGTAAAGAAGGAAAAAGTTAACTTTGAATTAACATTACGTGGCTTGCACCATTGACAAAAGAAGGAAAAGGTTTCCAGGTCAGATGACTAAGCATATGGAAATGCCACGGACTAAAATATGTGGGACAGAGGGAGGAGGGGAAGAAAGGAGAGAGAAAGGAGCCCACAACACACAAAAACTTCTGAATTTTCTTTGTGTCATTAGAAAAGAAAACATTCTTTTCTAGATGTCATTAAGAAGTAAGACTCTGGAAAGATCAGGGAGTAACAGGGGCTGGAAGTAAAGAGCTTGGAAATAAACAACAGATACATTTGAAGTTATGGCAGCGGACAAAATGGTTCCAATAAACCACTGGGTGTAGGCTTGGGAGCAGCAGAATAGGAATTGAGGACGAAAACAGAGAGCGGGTACTCCGGGCTCAAGGCAGCTGGTAGCCTCCTGCAATAAGGAAAAGTAACGAGCACTTGGTAGGCCAGGGAAAGATCAAACCAGGTAATGTGTGGCTTTAGAAACCAGGTGGTTAGTAGGGACCTTAAGAAGATCTTTATTGGTGGGGGGGTGAAGAAGGAGCACAATAGGTAGAAAGTGAAGAGTGGTTTAAAAAAAAAGAATGCAGACAAATTTGGCATTAATGGGAAAGATAAATAGATCTTACATAAAAAACACTGTAAAATTTAAAACAGTGTCTAAAAGAAAGATTATTCTTGAACTTCTGAAACATTTGCAAACTGCAAAAAATAAAAAAGATGTATTTTAACAATTCAAAGCTTATTTGCTACGATAAAGATTTATAGTCTAAGAAGTCTATGTTTAAGAAAGATTTTAAACACTCATTCTCACATTCTGTGATTTGCAAAGAAAGAGATACATTCTCAGAGAACAGATGAATTCACATTCATATTGGTTCTCAACGGGAATGCTGTAAGTTTTGAATTTATGCAAGTTTCCAACTCTTGTTACCAAGATTTCCATAGGTAAATGATTCCCTAGGTAAAATTATTTTACTTCAGGTAAAAATATTCCCATGAAAATCAAACATGTATTAATCCCCTTCTGTATATCATTTGATACGATTCAATAATAAAATATATTAATGTGTAAGTTTTACTATATTCTACTCTGTATAGTAGAAAAATATGTCACCAGACTGGAGGACAACACAAATAAGGAGCAAAAACCATGTTGCTTACCCATCCCCCACATGTACTCGAACACAGACAACACGCACAAAGGCGCTTCTAAAACACAACAGAACTTACTGAGAACCAAAACAGACTGTCCTGGCTGAACAAGTTTCAGGAAAAACTGATTTAACAAGGCTGTGCTTTCTGAATCATCTTGGAATCACTCCTGACAACTACACTGCTTTCCACAACAGCACAAGAGTCAAACTTCTCAGTGTAATGACAGTCCCAACCTGTGGAACTCAACAAAAATTGCCTGACAATTGTATCATAGAACTTCAGCATTTTCACGCAAATAATATTTATAATAGTACATTAATGAAATAGTTAAAGGTTGGAATTTATGGATATCTGTATTAACTGCGATTTGGCAAATCCTATTATGGACAACACTGTAAATAGCATCAATGTAAGTCAGAAAGCTATTAGAATGCTAGTTATTTATACTTATCTATTTGAAAGGTAGGTCAACAGAGCGCTCCCATCTGCTGGTCTACTTCTCAAAGGTTCACAATAGCCAGTGCCGGGAGTTGGGAACTCAATCCAGAGGCCCCATACGAGCAGCAGAGACCCAACTACCTGCACTTCACCTGAGCACATCAGCAGGAAGCTGGAGTTGGGAATGAAGCCTAGACTTCAGCCAAGGCAATGTAATACAGGCTGTGAGTATCCAACCCAGCAGGCCACATACGAGACCAAATACCCACTCTGCAACATCAAATGTGCTTCTAAACTAGGCAAAGTAAATTTAAATCAAGAAAAACACATTAGCCGAACAGTCTTCAAAAAAATAACAAAAGTAACAGCCACATACACTTAAAATTTTTCTTGAGGTTCAAGTTACAGAATTTTAAGGCTCAAGGTACATAACTGGGAAATGAGACAGAATATTTCATACTGTTTCATTTTCCAGTGATGGTCTCATATACTTAATTCAGAGATGCTGTAAGGCCATTCATATCTGCTAACAACTCTCCCCCTACATATTAGTTACTTCAAATTCTAATATTCAAGCTGTATGTTTTTAAAGCAGACCAACACAATAGGAAATATATATGCTCTTGAGTCAACCTGGCCACTGAGCTGAGTCAGGTCGACTACAAAGCTAGAACCTACATACTGGTTGTGTTTTATCTTTGATGGAGGTTTATAAACAGCATCAGCTTCAAAAACAAAACAAAAAGTCCTGCAACAGACTGTTGGCCTCACAGTTACAACACCATATCCTCTATCATAGGGCTTGGGTCTGTCCCTGCCTCCACT